GGAATAGGGAAGTGATTGTTGCCCTGTACTCAGCACTGGGGAGGCCACAGCTTGAGTACTGGGTTCAGTTTTAGACACAACAGTATAAGAAAGACCTTGAGGTCCTGAAGCAGGTCCAGAGGAGGGCAACAAAGCTGGTGAGAGGTCTGGGAGACGTGACTTATGAGGAGTGCCTAAGGGAACTAGGATTGTTTAGTTTGGAGAAAAGAAGGCTGAGGGGAGACCTTACTGCGCTCTACAGCTCCCTGGAAGGAGGTTGTAGCGAGGTGGGTGTTGGTCTTATCTCCCAAATAACTAGCAATAGGACATGAGGAAATGGGCTTAAGTTGTAATAGAGGATATTTAGATGGCATAGTAGGAAGAATTTCTTTACCCAAAGAGTGGTGAGGCATTGGAACAGGCTGCCCAGTGAGCTGGTGAAGTTACTATCCTTGAAGGTGTCAAAAAAATGTGGAGACCTGGTACTTTAGGACATGGTTTAGTGGGCATGGTAGCGTTGGGCTGACTGTCAGACTTCCTGATCTTAAGAGGTCTTTTCTAACCTTAAGGACTCTATGATTCAAGTAACATCTTGGGAAACAAGTTGCATGTAATGCTGCTCTAGACCTGAAAGTTGTTGCAGATTCAGCTTTTTTTTCTGCTAAGCAAGAGACCACTTAGTTTTGGCCCTTGTCAGAAGATTAGTCACATTTTCATCATAGTACTCTGGTCCTCCATTTGCAAGCTTTTCCTCTGTATAATAGCAAAGGCCCATGATCTCAAGGGTGAGCATAATTGCAGTTTGAAGTTTCATTGATAGACCAGTTTAATAACATTTCCTGTAAAAGGACACCTAAAGTGAATGGTAACCCAAAATAAGCCAGGATTTTTCTTTTAACTTGTCCTACATCCACACTGTAAGAACAGAGAAAGCTAGAATGATACCTTCCCAGTAATGTCAGGAAACTTGAAAAAGACACTTTACTGTGAGAAGGAGGGCAACCTACCCCTGCCTTCACACACCGGGGAGATAACTGTCCAGCCACAGCAACCTGTTTGCCACTTTCCCACTAAGTTTTTTCAGATCCTTTGTCTCTGAAGCTAAGTGTGACAACAGTACAGCTTCCCATCAGATCATTTCATTGGCTTAGTTCTGCTTCAGCTGTTCGTTCCAGGCTTTGCTTCCAAGCTTCAAAGCCATTACTGGCTCAGAGCCCATGTAGTATGTGGACTGCCAACTCAGCTAGTTGTCCTGGAAAAGTTTAAGAGGCAGCGAGAGCAAAAACAGACAGATGTATACCGAGATATTATAAAAACACAAGTGCTAGGAGAAACAAATTCATTAGGTCAGAGCTGGACATGCCACTCAAGCTTCAAACCAACAAGAAAATTGGACTTTTTTTCCTCTAGGGTAGTAATGAAGACAGAGAAACGGAAGACACTGATAGAAGCATCAAAAGGTTAGTCAAACATTTTGCCAGGATTTGACAAAGTCAAAAAGGAAAATAATCTTACTGACACAGTACATGGCAGACTCAGTGTTGGGTTGCTTCTACAGCAGACAAACAAGAAAAATTTATTGTACCAGAAGGAAAGATTGGCTGAACCATGCAACAATAAGACCACAGAATCTTACTTAACTTTGCTCCTTATAAACAATTTGGAACACAATACAGAAAACTTAAGAGTATGAACTTCACAAAAAAAAAAACAAGATTTCTAATTTTCTGGCAGAACACCTTCATGTAGTAATAACAGTTAAAAAGAAAAAGCTGGGCTTGTTATTAAATAGGAACACAAGAAAACCCCACACCAGCATTCTGACCCAGAAGCCTAGAAAGGCAACTTACTTAGAATCTTCACTATAGCCTGCTTCCACCATGTATTTTGATTTTCCTCATCCCACCACACAGAGGTGTTTGACTGAACTGGGTGGGAAACTTGGTCTGAATGCACAAAGACTGAAAACTCAGAGTAATTATTCAGTCGTAAAGACAAACATCCTCAGCAACAGGCTCCTTTCTTTCCCAGAAGTACGAAATAGACTGATTATAAGCTCATGACAGGAGAAAATAATCTTGAGTCTGCAGTTACCTCCATGTTCAGCAAATTTTGGGTTGGAGAGGATCATCTTGCAGAACTTGAGTCCATTTTTGTACTGTTTTTGTTCATAACATTTCTGGAAAAAAAGGTGGAATACAGTCACTGAAATGCATTTAAAAACCAGTACCTTAATGTACTATTACAAATGCAGCAGTTCTCTCTGCAAGGTGTGCTAATCCCATCACTAACAAGCTCTAGATGAATATTACATTGACTTTTTTCAGCATTCAGAACAGCATGGGCCTTCATTTACATGCAGCCAATGCTCTACCTCACAGTCTCCTCTTTATAAAGGTTAGCAATTCCTTTTCAATAGAAATAGGAAAGGCAAGTAGGAATGTCTACTTCAGTTCAGAAATTCTTAAAATAGAGAGCCAAGTTAGAAATCTTGGCTGAGCAGAACTTTTTAGAAGTTAAAGAGTTTAGACACTCCTTTCAGCATCTCACTTCCTTGGCCTAGTGACCTCCTGGAGTGAGGAATCTCAGACAGAACACTTTCCTTGTTGCCCATGTAGACTTTTAGGAGGAAGAGAGAAGCCATGAAGTAGAGCAGGACAGACCTATTGTAACCTCAACAACCTATATATAGATATCTGAGAAGGGAGAATTTATTTGGATATTAAAGAAAATATCCAGTTTCTAGCTGGTATAGTATAGCTCAGTGCTACTTTTATATTTATTTATGCTACTATTTACCTAATCACTAGAAAAACTGGCAAACAACGTGGTTCAACTGTGGCAACAGAAGGGAAAATCCTCCTATGAACCCAGGTCCCTTTTCTTCTTTTGGAAAAATATTATCTGATGTTAATAAGTCAGTAAGGTCTTAGCAATCAATTTAAATCAATAACTAATCACTGCAGTTGATCACTTTAAAACAAATTCACTTAAACCAGTTAAAAGCATGCTTATATCAATAAGCATAAAAATTATTTGAGGTCACTTAAGCTTCTTAACTTGAAGGAAAAAATCCCAAACCAGGCTTCACTTGCCACCATTTTCAGTTAATAAAATGTAGTCTCCTGCTGTGATTTAAACACCTGTCTTCAGGAGAAGCTACGTCATTTCAGTTATGTGCCTGAATAGTCCAACTGTCTCCCAAAGATCAGCCCCAGTCTGCCCATCTTCCAGGGCAGAGGTAAAACCTGTGCTAGATTAACACGTGGCTGCGGAGGGGTTACAGCACTAACGCATCATCGCATCGCTTCCCAGGGTACAACCAATAGAGCAACATGCCTAAAAGAGCAGAATAAGACTAAATCATGAAACAACCTCCAAAGGTTCCTACTAACCTCAATCATCCCTCAAAACAGCTAACCTTGGTATTGGATCAGGTTGCTCTGTCTGTCTGACTTCTGGCAGAATGGCCAGGGAGTTCCCAACAGAGACAGTTATACTATAGCAATTAACATTTCAACAAAAGCCACAGCTTGGAGAACTTTAAACTGACAATTAGTTTCTGCATTTTTATCTGAAATATCCGAGGCTGCAGTAAAACTTGGGGAGTTCCCCCTAGGAGAGAGTCAGATTCTCTTTTTTTTTTTTTTTTTCTTTCCCACCATAAGATGCTCAGTATAACTTTTAAAGAATAAAAAAAAAAAAAAAAACATGGTCTAAGTTTGCTTCTGTTGTGGTTGAACCCCAGACAGCAATTAAGCACCCCAGTGGGATGGGGGAAAGAACTGGGGAAAAAGAACCCCAAAACAGTAAGCCTTATGCATTGAGATAACAACACTAATAGGTCAGAAAAGGAAGGGAAAACAGTAACAACGACAACAAAATATCAAAAATAAAGGCTGCACAGTCCAATTGCTCACCACCACTGGCCGAGGCCCAGACAAACTGCAAGCTGGCAGGGCAGGATGAGAAGCTGAAAACTCCTTCACTTTCTACAAACACAGCTTAGCAACTACTAAACTGTCAGTGTGTTATCAGCATCATTCTCATACAAAGTCCAAACCACAGCATTACACCAGCTGCTAGGAAGAATATTACCTTAGCCCCATACAAAGACAGCACAGCTTTCTAAGATTATTCAGGTATGCCTAAACAATTAACAGAATACTGAGCATTTATCCACAATTCTACAACCCTTGCAATGTTGGGCAAAACTCCAAATATACAGCAATGCTTAACCATAGAACAAAAGCTATTTGAGTCAAGTGTGCACCTAAAATAGATTAAGTACTTGGTAAGGACATCTGTTATCCTTGTTATAACATTTTTATCCTATAGAGTTCAGTTTCAGGCCCAGAAAAACAACTTAGATAATTCTAGACAAAGTTGAGATTTTTGGAGGAAAAACAAGATGGCATTTTCCAAAGGCCAACAGATGGATGGAAGAGAGAAGTTAATGCTCTCCACCAAGAGAGAAGAGGAGTTCAACATTCAGAGCCGGTGGCTTGCTGGTAGACAACCAACATACCTGTACCCCTCAGTAACAGGTTAGCACAAAACCAGACACAAACCACAGCACTTCTTGCCAGGCTGCCAGCTACCAGACATAAGAGGGGCTGACTAAGGAAACAATGAATGAGCATGAAATGCAGCTTTATGCAATTCTGCTGCTTTATGGGCCAAGCACTACTGGTGTAGTCAGGACATGACTTCCCAGCTCTGCTCCCTCCAAACACAGGCACACACCCCCCCTGCATTTTTAAATAAGTTCTCATACCAATATATTGGCTTAAACATATACCAACACACATACAGAGACTGAAGGGCTTTACAGAATCCGTTACATGGACAAGCTTGGGGCTTTAAAGCATCCAAACTTCATGAATGGACTGCTTTTAGATTTTCATCTATCCAAAAACTGTGACTGAGCACACCATGCTCCCTCTGTATCTTTTACACAGGAGACCAGAGTTTGATGACATATGATACCATCTCATTTTGTAGTACAGATGGGAATTTCACAGTTGAGAAATCTGATGTCTCCATACATATTCTCAAGTTTTGTACTAATTGGGACAAATATAGCCAAAACGTGTTCATTAGCATCTGCCCCACTGCATTAAGTCTTTGGCATATTAAAAGTTCAAGCTAATATGCTCAGTTGGGGGGTTTTGGTGCTGTGTGTTGTCATGTCTATGTGTCCGTCCTTCCCTCGCCTAACAGCCTTATCTGTTGTGCTTAATATGAGGCTCCCCATCACCCTTTTATGGCAATAATTTCCTGCTAAATCTGAAGCCAAATCACGAACGTTTACATGCTTGGAACATCAAAGGGAGCCAAAATGTTATCCAGAACTTCTGCTACCAGATGTTCCTGGCCAGATGTTACCTCCTCTGGCAAACATCTCATCCTGGTTTATTCCCTTTTTCATCCCTAGCTCAAAGACACAATCTACTTGTAGACTTTGCCATCCAATTAGGCTAGACATAATTTTATGCACTTTCAGGTAAGTATAAATTACCTCTACACAGAAGTCAAACAACTACAGCATCTAAGAAGTAGCTACGATCCAAAGGTAAAAATATACTAGTAACAAGGGCACAACAATGAATAGCAAGAGACTTCAATCCTGTATCGCAGCGCGTTGCTGCTACTTAAGGGACTGCCATCCCCAAATTTTACTTTATTTTTTGTATCATGTTACCTTTTTTTTTTAAGGGACAAAACCCTGCCCACCCTTTAAACAGACAAAGCCTCCTTTCACTACTAAATATCAACAGAATCAAGGATCTGAATGGCTCACTAAGATTACCTTTAAAATAGGATTTCACCTATCACTACTCAATCACATATGCAATTTTGCATAAACTATGTTTAACAATTTGCAACATCGGCTTAGAGAGGGATGCTTTTACAAGCTACACCTCACTAAAAATCATTTACCACTTAAAAAAAGTCTTGTGTTAAGAAAACAGCTGGTTTTCACATACTAAAGTTTAATACAGAGCAGCAATTTTACAGCTGAAGAACATCTCATTATGGTCCTCAGACATTACCACCCACTTCTGAGAAGCCATCTAACAGAAAAGTATCAACTAGCTATTCAAAGACAGACTGCAGTTGCAGCAACCAATTCCCTTCCTCACTCCCTGTCCCCAGTGGCTCTGAACATACTGAAGTGACATGATATTATTTCAGAATCCTTTCCCATGTGAAGGCCAGATGAAGTTCAGGATCACATTTGAAGAATGAGGGCAGATACCACAAAACAAACAGCAGTGGTAAGCAGAGCAACTATGCTTCTTTGATCAACTTAAATGTTTTAATACATTTAAGCTGTTTAAGAGGCTCTGTGTCTAGGAGAGTTACAGCAAAGAAGTTCAATCCAAACAAGACAGGCTGAGCAGTCTCATGGTGAGCATGTGCAGAAGGGGCTTGTAAGAAAGATGAGGACAAACTTTTTAGCAGGATAGGACAAAGCGTGATAGTTTTGGAGAGAGGGTAGATTTAGACTAGATAGAAAAAATGTTTTGATGAGGGTGGTGAACACTGGTGCAGGTTACCCAGAGAGGTGGTAGTTGCTCCATCCCTGGAAACATTCAAGGCCAGGCTGGACAGGGCTCTGGGCAATCCAATCACATGGAAGATGCAATCTATCTGGACTTCTGCAAGGCCTTTGACATGGTCTCCCACAGCATTCTTCTAAGTTGGAAAGGTACAGTATTGATGGGTAGACTGTTAGGTGGATAAGGAATTGGTTGGATGGTTACATTCAGAGAGTAGTGGTCAATGGCCCAATGTCCAGATGGAGATGGGTAACAAGTAGTGTTCATCAGAGGTCCATGCTGGGACCAGATCTGTTTAATATCTTCATCAATGAATCAAAGACAGTGAGATCCAGTGCACTCTCAGCGAGTTTGCAGATGACACCAAGCTGTGTGGTCAGGTTATCATCCAGAGGGATCTGGACAAGCTGGAGAAGTGAGACCATGGGAACCTCAGGAGGCTCAACAAGGCCAAGTGGAAGCTCCTGCACCTGGGTAGGGGCAATCCTTGTTATCAATACAGGCTGAGGGATGATGGGATAGAGAGCAGCCCTACAGAAAGGGACCTGGGGGTACCAGTGGATGAAAAGCTGGACATGAGCCAGTAGTGTGTGCTCACAGCCCAGAAGGCCA